GAAATCTAGAAACACATGTTTACAGGGTAGGTTTATTTATCATGTTCACCTTTCAGATACTAAATTTAGGATTAACACAGGCAAAATTCAGTGAACAAACAATGGAGAGTTCTAGGAAACCCAAAATGCTTGAAAATGGTGGGAGGATGTTTGCATTGCCTTCTATTGCCATTTACCTTTGGGCAAAGGAGATGTACAAAAATTGCTAACACATAATGTGAATAGTTTACTTTCCCTTTATATAAGAAGCCATTTATTTCAAAAAGGTTATATTAGATGATGAAATAATCCTTTCTGGCCTTAGTTTGTATGAGACTGTGAATCACCAATTCAAAGGTATATGCTGAGAGTTACCCTGATATATTGTTCTGTACTTCTGCAGACCCAAGGTACTCACCCGTCCTGCACAGCTTGTTTCATCTTTCCTCTTTAATTTTAATTTTGAGTGTGTGCACTCAGCAGTTTTAAGAATCAGGAGCCTGGAGCCCATGCACAGGCCTCCAAGAGGTCCATCCATGAGGTGCTTCAAGACCAAGAGGCGCATCCCCAAGGCCACCTCTGCAGTCCCTATGAAGTCACTGGGAGGTCTCATCCAGGGTAGCATGCTTTGGATAGGAACAGAGGGAGCAGGTGTTAGGCTGGCTAGGTGCTCCCCTTCCTCATGTGGCTCAACCCTTCCTGCTCAGCACAAACCCAGTCTACCCCTGTAATGAATATGGATCTGTGGCACCAATCAACCAGTAGATCTCAAAGTGAATCTCGAATTACAGCATGCCCATGTTGGTAGAAGTTGCTTCTGGAAGGTTTGCAATGAAAAAAATGCATCTGGGTACTTAAATCCCTTTGGATTGCTAGCTGTTAAGACAGATTTCATGCTCCACTGGACCGTGACATTTAACATGATTACTGAAAAAAATATAAAACAGATTATTCATCATCTTCTGATCTGTCTTTAAACCCATATGCATAAAATGTAAGAAACAAGCTTGTTTTGTTCCTAACAAACAGAGGATGACCTGCTTTGCATAGTATCTGAAGTTCAGTCTGAACCTCTGCCTAATATTTTGCAGCTTCCAGAAGGTCAGACTGAGATATGTCATATGATCACTTTAACCTGAAGGAACAGATTGCTCTACGAGGGTCTGGTCCAGTGGATGCTGGCTAATGAAGTCTTCAGCAAAGTTTTCCCAGATTATTACACACAGTGGTGGGCAATGAAAAAGATATTTTCTTCTCAGGAGGGTTGACAGAGAAGAAGCCCAGTGTATTCGCATGGAGTCCTGCAGATCCTTTGTTTCTTTGCCCTGCTTTAAGCACTTTCCCTTGGAGCCATGGGGAGCAGCCAGCTCTGCCCAGGCATCCTCCCTACTACAGACAGCGTAGTAGGGCAGGCACTGGGACATGTTCCCTCCACAGCCCAGCTCCCACTCTACTCCCATCCACTGCCTCTGCCAACCACAGGGCGTGTTTTGTCAGCCTGGATGAGCAGTGCTAGAGGGAAGCCAGGGAACTCAAGGGAATCTCCTCAGAGACCACTTGGTGCTGGAAAAATTGCAAGCATCTGTGTGTGGCATTCAGGTCACACTGAAAGGTGAAGGGTGTAAAAGAAGAAATAAATTGGTGTCCCTTCTGATTCTTTGTTGTGGTTAAAAATCTGACATGGTTTGTTGTTGTTTTTGAAGGGAGTTATTTTAGCTGGCTTTTGTATCAGATGTATCAAGAATATCAGGCGTTCCGCTGCCTGTTGAGGTTGGAGTTTTTAATGGAAATTTCACATATGGTCTGGTACATGTTCTTGTCTCTTAATTGAAATGAAGGGGCTATTGAAACTAATAAATGTATACTTTCTTCTAAAAATTTATAAAGTATATGAGTGGATATTGACATAATGACTGTCAACATAAGCAAAAGGAAAATACGGTCTTTAATTTCTTCCAAAAACAAAAAGAAAAGTTAGCTCCCTCCCTTAACCCAAAGTCCAGAAAACAGCAGAATGGCAGGCCTTGCAGCAGGACCTGCTCCTTGTTATCAGTGGAGTTTTTGTGCTATAGAGAACTTTTGAATCCTGAATTTCATAGCATTTATATCTGGTTTGGGTTTTGCTTGCTTTCTGTTACTACCTACGCAATGTAAGCACAGAGAAGATGCCTACATATACCTCAGTTCAAAGCCCAGGAGATTCACAATTCATTCCTGTCAGCTCTCACAAGTACAAGTCTGAAAAACCACATTTGACTTTCAGATGTTTCATCATACAGAACAAATGGAACAAAAATAAAGACTCGAATAAAAACACTCTGAGGGAATTTCTGCAGAACTTAAAACCAAAAGTTTAAGATTTGGTTTATTTTTTGCTCTCTACTTAGAGGTCTTGCCTCCTAAATTTGTTGGCAAAATGTAGTAAATACTTACTCTCCCTCAATTAAGGTACATGGGCTACTATTACAAGTTTCTTTTGGCAGATAAGATCACTAAAAAACAATTCAGTACTTTCAGTTTTTATTCTGTATAGCTTTGTGCAGACTGATTTTAACACCCTTATTTTGCTGACTTATGGATTACATTTCAAACTCTTCAAATGCCACATGTCAGTGAATTACTGTACAAAACATAGGGACATCCTGTACCCCCACAGAGCAATGCCATTTTCTGCCAGGGTTTTATAACTCCAAAAATAGGTAAGTGTGCTGAGATATTAACCAGAGTGGAAAACTAGGATCAGAAGTCAAATCCCAATTTTGAAGGAAAAAACCCAAAGAAATAAGGGAAAGTTAAACTTGGAAGTAGCACAGACTCCATGGGACACAGTACTGCTCCACACTCTTAGCTGCCGTGTTGTGTGTCAAGGGGCTCCTTTTTTACAGGATTTGTGCAAAAGTACTGTTCCTGCATAGGTTCCCTCTTCTTTGCTTGGTGAGAGCTGATTCAAAGCTCTTTAAAACAGAAAAGATTCCTCCTGGCTTTAGTGAATTTTAGATCAGACTCTTTGTCTGGTTTTTAATGGGGGCAGTAAATTTCCCCATATATAGTATATGGTATAATTCTTTTGAAGTATTCTTCAGCTGCCTTTCTATATACAATAGTTCATTTGTGAGAGTCTTGAAGTATAGCTACAAGGGAGTTGAACAGAAATGTGCTGTCTTACTGGATTTCCAGATGAAATAATAGCCAAGTATCACTCAAACACTTTCAGCTTGAAAATTAAGTCAGGTCCTTTGAAGGGCACAGCTGTATTGCATTTTAGGGGCCAAATTATTATCACTAAAGCATTAAGACATTTCTGCACTGTGATCACAAGTATAAATTCAGTCTTTCATTCTTTGTTGTGTCGAGTGGTACTGGTATGTTTGCAAAATTATGCAGTGTTTTTAAAAGTCCTCATAATCCCTGAACCAATGTTGGGGGGTTTTGTTGGTTGGTTGTTTTTTTGTTGTTGTTGTTTTTGTTTGAGTTTTTGTGTTTTTTTGTTTTTTTTTTTTTTTGACAGTACTGACCAGTACTTTTACTGAGTTTTGTAAGATTTCTATAGTGTTCCTAGGTTTTTCCCACCATTGTTATATTTTACAGGACAATTTAAAATATATATATAAAAAAAAAAAAAGGCATTTCCTTTGTAGATTGTCTCCATGTTTCTGAGGGGTAATTTATTTTTAACTCAGAGGTGACCAAATGTAAAAGATTTAAGGAAAGAATAGCAGAAGTCATGTTAACTTTATCACCGTCAACGCGATACCAGATTATGGTGTCTTTGAAGCTACTTTGCTCTGAACCCAACTTTCATCAAGCTGACAAAAAATGGTCATTTTGGGGCTCTTTTGTGTTCAGCATTCAGCTTCTAACAAAATAAGTATATTGTATGTTTAACATGCCAGAAATAAGATGTGAAAGACAAGAACGGCAGGATTTAAAAGACTGTTACAATGCACAGCTTGTTCAGTGCCCCTAAACACTAACTTTCAAAGCTTTCTAGTATAGGTTTTGTTATTTATTGCTACTGCCAGAGAAAGCCCATAATGTGACAAATGAAAGGTAAAGAACAATTAAGATGAATGGTAGGATACAGTCTACCAAAAGAAATGCTTTTCTAAAATTATTCTTTGCACATTCTTTAGCTCCATTTGAAGTTCAAGAAAACCTGATTCAACTAACACAGTATTTTTTTTTTGACAGATTCTCCCAAGCAGTGCTCCCATAGAAGGTGGGACAAAGCTGACACTGTGTGGATGGGATTTTGGATTCAGCAAAAATAATAGATTTGAATTAAAAAATACAGTAGTCCATATTGGAGGACAAATTTGTACTCTGGAAGGAAAATCTAGCAACAAAAACAAGTAAGAAACCCAAAACCTTTTATATGGATTTTTTTACATATATTTATAATCTCAGATTCTGAAATTTCAAATTGAAAAAAATCTCTTGGTTTGATAAGCTTCCCAAGATAAAAAGTGCTCAAAATGGAGAACAAATAAATCAAGTTTATGCCAGTAGCTCCTGCAGCAGCTTTTTCTGGTTTGTCTGTGAAACGGTGTTCAACATCTGTGGGAGCTGGCAAGAATGAAGCTATTCAAAGTTCTGGAAAGTGGGCAGGTTGTTTTGGCCAGGATCCTGTTGGGCTCAGTTATGTCACCTCTGTCTTCTTAATCTGTGAAGCTGCTGGAGAGAAACATGAGAAGATGCAGGTATTTCATCATCCAGAGGCTTATGACCCCCAGTTGCACCTCTCCTCCTCTTCCTCAGAAATAAGTATTTGAGATGGTGGGATAATGACTTAAGACAGAGGTTATTACAATTGTTATCTGGAAGAAATAGGAAGTTCAGTGAATATCCTTTCTTGGTTCAAAGCATATGACTGTCTACCACCAAAGCAATACACAAATCATGGCACAGCTTCTCTGTTCACATATATAGCAGCAAGTATACTCTAGCAAGTACTCCAGAACTATTGAGCACTCACCTGACTGCTGTTTTCAGCAGTCTTAATGGAAACAAAATGATTTAAGGAGATTATGTCACATATGAGACTGTGTGAATGCAATATAATACATCCACAAATGCTGCCACAAGAGTTCAAGTTTAATTTTTTTGTAATATTTAAATTTATACAACAAATGTGTGTATATGATGCATTTTTTCTAATCCTGTTATCTGCCAAAATTTGATACTAACAGAAAATTAAAGACCCTCAGCTGTTGAATGGGAGGTATTTGTTTTCTCTAGCATGCTTCTTTTTTTCTGAAATATATTTGATATAGTATTATTTTCTGGCTAAGTATAAAAACCACAGTGTTTGTATTTAGTATTAAAGAGGAGGAGCGCAGTTCTTCTAGCTGTTACTTCTGAAATGTCCTTGAGGCTCACACACTGATGATCTGTTTAGTCTGGATTCTTCATTATTATGAGTTTGAAGTGGTTCTATTTTAATACAAAAAAAGTCAAGCAGAAACAAAATGTAATCCCTTTTTTTCCCTTGTTTTCCAAAGGCTTGAATGCACAGTTCCTGCTGCAAAAAGTCCAGGTTTTAATATATCCAGTAGTGTTTCTGTTGGACATGGCAAAACACTGTTCAATACATTTTCATATGTGGTAAGCACTACAATTAAACCTCTATAGTCAAAATTAGCTTCAGTATTAACTGGAAGGAACTTTTCATGAGTCCAATCCAGTATGGTAATTCTATACTCCTGTTACTTCATGGCAATGCTAATAAATGTTTTGAGATCCTTCCTCTTCATATTTTGAATATATAATCTCATGATCCACCATTCTTATTTTTACCATCCCTTAGAATCCTGTAATAACAAGTATATCCCCCACTTACGGCCCCAAATCTGGAGGAACACTGCTAACTGTAGCTGGAAAATACCTAAGGAGTGGAAAATCAGTAAGGATTTTTGTTGGTGAGCAACCATGCACTTTGAAAAGGTAATGTACATAGTAAAAAGTTATATCCTTAATATTGAAATGGCTTAATTAAAATGTCTGGAGCTAAAAAAAAGCAAATGCAAAAATGCATTAGCTTTCCTGTCCTTGTGTCACTTATTGGGGAATTTATACTGCAATAAGCATCAAGTTCTGGATGTCTGAAAGATTTCTAGAGGGGACTACGGTTCCCTAGAAGACTTGTTTATTCTGTAATGTCTTCATTAACCTCATTAAAAGGTTGCACAGAGAAGTAGCAAATCAACTTCTAATGGACTAGAAGCTGCCTATTTCCCATCATTTTTGTTCTCCCGACTCCCACACACTCAGCCCTCTCTCTTGTATTAGCAAGAGCTATTTTTCGTGCAGCAGCTGCCAGTGAGCATCCAGTGGGTGTGGGTTACCATTTCCTACTGCTTTGTTTGATGGAGACCTGACCAGTGTGGAAATGTGTATCCCGTGCTGAGGAGCAACTACTTTTGCGTTGCTGTCAGTGAACAGCCAGAGACAGCATCACATTGGAACTTTCTCTGGCACATATAAAATTGTTTTGAGGATTAAGTCAGAAGTTCTTGTGTCTCTATACTGTCTCCAGTAGGAGCTCAGTCAAAAATCTTTGATGTCCCCTGTGTGGAAATGCCTTCAATCACAGCTGTATATACACATTAAAATACTAAGCACAGATTCTCTGCAGTGGGTATATCCCCCACTATTGCCTTTACTTGAGGTTTTTAACACAGCATAAGTCCTGTGGATTTGAACGGGGCGTTATCCCTTGGTTACAGTAGATCAGGTCTTTCTCCTTAAACCTGGAATGTGGTGGTGTTTTCCAGGCTCGAAGCTGCCTTTGCAGGGTGCAGGGGCTGATGTGGTTGTCAGCAGTGCTAGGGAAGCACCATCCAGTAGCAAGTCAACTAAATTAAGATGAATCTTGAGCCTAAGCAGTGGTGCTTGTTGCCATATGATTATCCAGTGGGAAAATCAATGACCTTTTTTTATAAGCTGATCCCTAGGCGATGTTAGGGCTCACTAAAGGACAGTGTTTTAAACTAAGTACATGCTTTATAATGCTGACAAGCAATCCCTTTGCAGTCCTCCCAGCATACTGGCAAGCACTGTGGAGTGCTATACTCCAGCGCAGCGAATTCCCCAGGAATATCGTGTGAGAATGGAAATCGATGAAGCTATTCGAGACGCAAGCAGCCATTTCACATACAGAGAAGACCCTGTCGTTTTAAAAATTCATCCGTCCAAATCTTTTCTTAGGTGAGTAAAAGTTTCTTACAGAAACAAGAAAAGTAACGAATGAACAAAGAATGGCTATGCTGCGCAGCAATCCATCAAAAGAAATTGCATTTTTATCTTCATCTGCCATGCCAATTGTTTCTATTATGGTGCAGTTGCAGAGGGCAGATCATTTCCTTTCAGAGGTGAAGGAGAAGGGGGAAGGGTGGATCTTTTCTTTATATGATTTCACTGCTAGCTGCTGCTGAGCCTACCTGTGGTGTCCTGCTGAGATATCTGCTGTACAGCTAAGTGAGTCTCCTGTATGGTGTCTGGACATTACACTGATTAGTGAGAAAAATCGTTTAATGTGACAAGTCAGCAGTACTCAGGAGAGCAAATGGATTTTAAAATAGTCTAAATCCAGTGCTATATAAATATTATGAATATATATGTATGGTAGTATATGTGTGTTTTGAAGTGGCAGATTTATGGTTTTGGTAGCAATCTTAGTCTCCAAGCCATCTGCCTTTGCCAAAAAAATGTCTGCAGTAAAACAGACACCTTTCGCAGCGCCACTGAAAGCGATAAGTTAAACAAGTAAGCAAATGTGAAGTACAAGTATGCACCCTCTTTTGAAATATACACATTTGGTTTGTACTTTGGCATACGACAATTTTAAAAATTATTTTTCTTTTCTTTATTTGATTAGTTGTTACAGTAAGTGTAAAATTTATTTCCCAGAAAAATAATCTCACTGCATGAAACTATTTGTACTCACCCCATATATCCCTAATTCTGATTTTATGTTACCATTCACTTAAAAAATATAATTTGTAATTAACATTATCACAGCAGATGTATCATTATCCTACTCATCTTTTTTTTGTGTGTGTGTTGTTTTTTTTTTTTTTTAACTTTTCCTAGTGGTGGAAGTACAATCACAGCTCAGGGAATCAACTTGAACTCAGTGTGCTTTCCTCAGATGGTGATTACTGTACCTAAACTGGGAATGAACTTCTCTGTGGTGAGTCAGTCTTAGAGAAGACAATCTGTTATCTTTTCATCTTGGTGTGATGAACAGTTATGAATTTTCAGTCAAAATACTTTGACTTTTGCCCTGAAACTTTGGAGCTTCCACTGATATTTTGCGCAGACTGTTTTCACTGTATAGGCAAAATTCAACAACAAATTTGAATTTGGGCTGAAGGTACGACAGCAGTTTCCAAGGAACCTTTTCCAAAGACATAAGGCTTTTACAGTATCTGATAGTAAGATTTTTATATTGCAATTTAGCAATGCAAATTCGAGTGACTAAACACAGAGCAATGCAATGCAGGTATGTCAGATTACATATCAAGTTCAAGCTACTGTGATATTCAAGTGGTGACTATGGATATAAGACAGAGGAAGAGTAAATATCTGAAATCAAAAGTAAGTATTATTTGGAAGAATTTCTGCTTGCAAAATTCCCTACTGGGGCAAATTTTTCCTAATTTACCTAAGTTCAACAACTAAGTTTTAAGAGAGGTTTGGGGCTTTGCAATTGTGTACCTCTGCATGAACAGAGGGTCAGTCAGGGATCTAAGCCTTCTGATTTTGTTTCTGAGTTGACACTACACAATGCCTAAATCTAAATAGGATGTACAGATAAGACCATGTGATCCGCTTTAATTTTTAGAAGATAAAGATTGCATTTAATGGCTAGTTGTACTGAAACTGTTTTCTGTAAGCGTTTGCCTACACATTTGTGTTGTACCTCCAACATTTTCTTATCCTGTAAGGTCTATTTAGCCTAACTGAAGCTAAATTGACCTACACTCTTTATGACATGCTATGTTACTGTTCATATTCTCAGGTTATTTCTAATGATCATCATACACTATTTCCTGCATTGAATTCTAAGTATTAGACCTAGGTTTGCTCAATGCATTTTAAATGGTATGTCTGCAAATTTGCAGTCTTTTATAGCTTCAAGGTCATCATATTCTTCATGATCCTAATTTGTATAATATTATGAGTGTCGGGACCTGAATTTCCACAGCATGTAGTCGTGGCTTGTAATTTAATGGGTTCAGATTTTAATCTGAAAAATCAGTGCCTTCACAATGAAACACCATGTTCAGTGTTATCAAAAAGTCACTTTGCCCATCAATAGAAAAACAAAACATTTCAGTGAAATCAACTAGACTCAAAATTTATTAGGCATTGAGTAAGGTAGGCATGATCATTTTTAGACACAGAGGATTTCCAAAGAAAAGATCTTGAGATTTTGCTTTGTATGGGTTTGAGCAGTCTTTTTTTTTTAAAGTAAAGATCACTCATATGCTTTCTCTGTTCCCCTGTGAGAATATGCAATATTGCTTCTCTTCAGGCCCTGATACTTCATTCCTTGCTTGTCAAATATTTGGGACTTAACAGAATCACAGAATATGCCAAGTTAGAAGGGACCCACAAGGATCATCAAGTCCAATTCCCAGCCCTCCACAGAACCATCCCTCAGAGTAACACCGAGTGCCCCAAAGTATCATCGAAACGCTTCTTGAACTCTGTCAGGCTTGGTGCTGTGACCACTTCCCTGGGGAAGTTCCAGTGCCCAACCACCCTCTGGTTGAAGAAGCTTTTTCTAATATCCAACCTAAACCTCCCCTGACACGAATTCAGGCCATTCCCTTGGGTTCTGTCACTGGTCACCACAGAGAAAAACATCAGTCTGCCCCTCCTATCAGGTTTCAGGAAATCAGGTTTGATAAGCGGGACCCTGCTCTCACAAAGCTGTGTTGGTTTTGACCAAAGACTGTGTTGTCTTTTAGGTGTTCTTCAATACTTCCCATAACAATCTTTTCCATAACTTCACCAGGCACTGAAATGAGACTGACAGGCCTGTAGTTACAGGGGTCCTCCTCCTTGCCCTTCTTAAAAGTCAGGACAACATTCACCAGTTTCCAGTCAGCTGGGACCTCTACAGATTCCCAAGATTGCTCAAGAATCATTGAGAGAGGTTTTGACATGACATCATCTAGCTCTTTGAGGATTCTGGGATGAATCCCATTAGCCTCATAGATTTTTAGGAATCCAGCTGGAGCAGCAGATCCTGCACAATTTCAGGGAGTTGATTATTCTTGCAGTCATGGTCTTCCAGCTCAGGGCACTAGGACCCCCTTGGTCCCTCATCCATATTGAAGGCAGAGGCAAAGAAAGCCTTAAACACCTCTGTCTTGTCTCTGTCCCTGTTTGTGAGGTGACCATCCTCATCCTGTAATGGGTCAATGATATTTCTACACTGCCTGCTGTCATTAATGTATTAGAAAAAGTACTTTTTATTGATCCTCACATTTCCAGCCAGCTTCAACTCCATCTGAGCTTTGGCCACACAGATTTTCTCCCTACAGCAGGAAGCAACATCTCTGTATTCTTCCCATGTCACTTGACCTTGCTTCCACTGGGCATACACCTGCCTTTTTTGCCTTATTTCCAAGAGAAGATCCCTGCTCAGCCAAGTCAGCCTTCTGCCTCCTCTGCTTGACTTCCAGCACTTGCGAATTGCCTGCTCCTATGCCCGTAGGAGGTGATGTTTTAAAAGGGACCAGCACTGATGGATCCCAGCACCTACAAAAACATTTTTCCAGGGGACCTTACTTACTAGTTCCCTGAGCAGCCCAAAAGTCTGTTCTCCTCATGTCCAGAGTTGAGGTTTTGCTGGTGCTTTTCCTTCTGTCATCATAGATTTTAAACTTGATCACTTCGTGGTTGCTGTGGCCAAGACAGCGACCAGTCTCCACTTTGCTCACAGGATCCACTCTGTTGACAAGCAGCAGATTAAGGAGGGCATCTTTCTGAGTTGGCTCTCTTAGGATGTGTTTCATAAAGTTGTCATCCAGGATTTTTAGTAATCTTCTGGCCCTGGTTCTACCAGCTCTGTGATGCTCTCAGTTAATTTCTGGAAAGTTAAAGTCTCCCATAAGGACAATGGCAGTTGATTTGGAAGTGTCCTTTAGTGTCGGAGTTGGTTAGAAAAGGCAACCAGCCAGCTCAGCGTGGGGTCGACAAGCTGAATCCAACTTTATTAGAAACTGGAGGATTCTTAGAGGAATTTCGGAGGAAGGTTCAGGAATCTGGGAGGAGAATAGGAGGAGCATGCTAATCCTCCAACTAGGATAGGGTATGGGAGAATACATAAACATAGGGAACATATACAAATGTATGAAGGGGCTACACAGCAACAAGGAAAACAGTGATTGGTCGAGCTGCTGTGGCTTCACGAACTGTCCAATGACAGCTGACACCAGCTCTTGAGCACGATGTCCATGGCAGCCACTTGCAACACGATGACAGTTCAAGCTGCAGCTCCGCGATAACATCACACCTTAAAATCCCTTATGACACAGGCTGTTCAACCACCATAATTGTGCTCTCCATAATCACAAAAACCACCTCCAACACTTTAGTTCTTCAAATAATGATCTGTCGGTGTCATCGTACTGGCTGGGAGGTCTATAGCACACTCCCACGATGACATCTGCATTATTTGTTTGCCCCTTGATTCTTACCCAGAGGCTCTCAGTTCGGCCACTGCCAGCTGTGAGCTCCATACATTCTAACCCTGCTATTACATACAGTGCCACCCCTCCACCTCTTCAGCTCTGCCTATCCCTCCTGAAGATCTATAACCATCCAACAGGGCACTCCAGTCACAGGTCTCATCCCACCAGGTTTCACTTGTGCCAGTGATGTCAGATCTCTGGGACTGAGCCAAAGCTTCACACTCCTCTTCTTTGTTCCTCATGTTGCGAGCATTAGTGTAGAAATATTTCAGGTGTACACTGTAGCCAACACCTCTTGAGGCAGATTGAGGGATCCCATGACTGCTCATTTCCTCAAGTTTTGGCACATCATCCCATTGCTCATCACTGGTGAGCCTGGTTTTGCCCCTTTCCCCCTTCCAAGCTAGTCTAAAGCCCTTTCAACAAGCCTCACTGGCTCCAGCACTAAAATTCTTTTTCCCCTTTGAGAAAGCTGCATCCTGTCAGGTGTTAGTAGACTAGGTGTTGAGTAGATCATGGCATGATCAAAAAACCTATAATTTTTCTGATTACACAAACCTTGGAGCCACTCATTGACCTGATGAATCTGCATATCCCTATTAATATTACTGGAAAGATAAAGGAGATTACTACCTGTGCTCCTGATCCCTCTACCAATGGTCTCAGGATCTTGAAGCCTCTTTTGATTGCTCTCTTTGTTATTTCATTGCTGCCAATAGTGGATAGTAATCAGAGTGACTTGTTAGTCTGGAGAGTTTTCCAGTAATGTCCCTTACCGAAGCCCCTGTAAGACAGAAGACTTCCCTGTGAGTTGGGTCTGATCTGCATATCGGGCCCTCCATTCCCCTTAAAAGGGAGTCTCCTATTACAATTACCCTTCTTTTCCTCTTGACAGAGGAGATCTGGATGCAGGTACAGGTGATGATATTTTATGGGACCCCACTATCCTAGAAGGACCCTCACCCCCCTCCTCAGTTGGCCAGCCTTCTAATTCCAGAGCCTGTTGTAGAATGTGCCAGTCCTACCTGTCATATTTTGAGGAGGAGGAATCTTCCTCCTGGTACATGCAGTGACCAGCTTCCAGCCTTCATCTTTAAAAAACTAATATTCCTTTCACTAATTTCCCTGTTGGGTTCTGAGTCCACCTCCATCTCCGCTACAACAGAGGTTCAAGACTCCCGAGAGTCTTGAAATGGTAGCATCTCTGAGTATAATCAGTCTATCTCTTGCTTTTTTGTTCGAATACTTCGAATACTCTTCCCATAGCTCCTTCGCCTGGTGACACAACTCTTCAACCACAGCACATCTTCTGCAAAATAACTGTCTGCCCCAGCATCATGAAGAGGCATCAAGCACTCCTGGCAACCTCTGACCTGGAGAGCTACATCTGCCATCAGCAGGTCTGTCTGTCTGGAGGCCTCTGGCACAGCTGGTACAGCGAGTCCTGCAGCGACAAGGAATAGAGCTTTATGGCATGTCAGCC